ACGGCTGATGCTCTAACCACTGCGTCACACCAGCCAGGGATCTCAGTTATTTTTTAAGCCTCTCCTAGAGGCACTCCCCAAAGAGCTCCGCTCTGTACCTGCTAGTGAAACTGGAAAGCAAGGAGCTCCGCTCTGCACCTGCATGAAGGACCCAGCCCTGCGTTAGCCAGACCCTGGCAGCAGTTCCCGGAGCCATATTCTTCATTAGCGTGTGTTGCCTTGATGCATCAAGCTCCCTCTCTTTCTCCTTTCTCTCCACTTTATCCTTAGTAAACTTCCTCTCTTGATTTTATTTTATTTTATTTTATTTATTATTATTGTTTCAATCTCCACCCGAGGATATTTTTTCCATTGCTTTTCAGAGAGAGTGGAACGGAAGAGAGAGGGGGAGAGATTAAATATATCGATTGGTTGCCTGCACTCGACCAGGATGAACCTGCGATGGAGGGACATGCCCTTGGCCGGAATCGAACCTGGGACCCTCCAGTCTGCAGGCCAACGCTCTAACCACTGAGCCAAACCAGCTAGGGCTAAACCGCCTCTCTTGATTTTATCTTGAGGAGGGGCAAGAACCCCTTCGCCGGTTACCTTTTCATCTGTTCTCTACGTGCCTTCATTCTTTCATCCACTCTCCATGCTGACAACTCCCATATTTACATCTTCAGACACATATATTTGTTCAAAGCTGCAAACAGGTGGGGAAGGAAACTGGTTGCTGGGATTTACCCACCTGGGTCTGGTTTTCAGGTTCATAAGTTTGAAAACTATTTTATCAGTTCTCTATTCTCCTCCTCCCCATTAGATAATAGTGTTGAACAAACTCAAAAAGAGTTTGGAGGCTTTGGCTTGAAATAAATGACAAAAATTTAAGAAAGGATTTAGGGTTTGCAAGCTGGAAACACAACGAGGCAATATCCAGAGCATTTTGAAGAAGAAAGAAAATCTTATAGAGTTCTTATAATAAAAAGTACATTCTCGAGAAGAATCAGTCCTGCAATCTTAGCCTCTGGATTGGTTTGAGATGGGAATATTCTACATGGCTGGTGGTCAGGATCCTGGGTATCAGGTGGTCTGGATATGTGAACATTCTTTCCTTAGTCCAGGGGGTAATCAGAGAGTTACCTGGAGGTGTGATGTACATCCAGGCATTATTGACAGGACTGGAAAGTTCAAAAGTTTAAGTTTCCAAGCTAGTTAAAACAAGAATAGAATAATTTCCTCATGCCTCAGCCTGCTTAATTTTAGTAATTTTTAGCAGCTTACTATAGTGATTCCATTTTACTTCTTCACTCTTTCCTCAGCGGAAAATCAGCTTGTATAAACTAAATATATACAGGCTTGTGGGTAAGCGAAAAATCAATTTATTAACTTACAGGGACAGACAGACATTTATTGATTTATATATTTTGCCTGTTTGCTGTTTTTAAAAACTTATTGGTTTGATTATAAAAATAATGCATGTTCAGGTACGCGCTCCCTCCTGGGAGCATGCCTTCGCCTTTCCCTTGCCCCTCTTCTTCCCCCACAGGCGTACATCTCCTAAGCTCTAAGGGACCCCAGAGGCTTGCAACCAGGGGAGCAATGGGTAGGGGCAGCTCACCCAGGGCTAACCCCCAGCCCTCTCCCCAGGGCCTCCTTTTCTCTGACTTTCCAGTGGGCTGACAGCAGCCCCACTTTGGCTCACTTCTTTCACTGACTTATTTCTCAATGAGCCAAAGCAGCCCCACCCAGGTTCCTCTCTTTCCTGTACTCTTTCTAGAGAGCCAAAGCAGCCCTGCCTGCGCTCTCCTGTTGCTTCTTCTGTCCCAAGCCCTTCCTTGTTTCACTGTCCCTGCTTTAATAAATGTATTCTCAAAATAATAATGATGATGATATGATGCATGTTCGTCATAGATTTTAAGAAATCATTAAAGTATGAAAAACAAAATGGAAATCATCTCTATCATTTCAATAATAACCGATAGTTCCTCACATCTGTATTTGTGTGGGGATCATGCTGCATCCTACTTTCTCCTATTTTTATATTGTAAGCAGTTGGGGGAAGGCCCTTCGACCTTGGCAGTTCCTAGAATGTATTTTATTTTTACTGTCCTGGGGATCCCATTTCCAGTATTAAGGTCCACTCTCAGAAACTTGCTTAGGTGAGCATCAAATTAGAGCAAAAGTGAAAAATAATTTAATAAACCTGGGAACTTTAGGGACAACTGTATCCAGGCTAGGTTCCTGGGGCCATAAACCCCCTCCCCTCGCATTTCCGGCCCCCAGGGTCGGGCGTTGGGGCCCAGGGTCAAGGCTCGGGCCTAGTTCCCGGGCCCGCGTCCCGGCGGGAGGGACCCACCAGGCAGCAGAGAGGCGCCGCCTGGGCTCACGGGGCGTCCCGCAGGCAAAAGCAAGCGAAGGGGTCTCAGGCCGGCCTCTTGGAAGAAACGGGTCGAGGTGGGAGTTGGGGAAAACCTGGCCATTTTCCGGGGTCTCGCTGCGGCCTGCGGCCTCGGACCCGCCGCCAGGGGCG